TTCCAGGTTGAATCTCTCCTTATTCAGTTTCCATCTATTATACCTTGTTTGGCCTTCAGGTGCTTTGGAAAATAGCTTGACCCCCTCCTCTCTGTGGCAGCCCCTCAAATATTGTAAGACTGCTATCATGTCTCCCCTGATCTTTCTATTCACTAGACTAGCCATGCCCAGTTCCTGTAACCGTTCTTCATGTTTTAGTCTCCAGTCCCCTAATCACCCTGGTTGCTCTTCTCTGTACTTTTTCTAGAGTCTCAACATCTTTTTAAGAGTGTGGTGACCAAAACTGGATGCAGTACTCTAGGTGTGGTCTTACTAAGGCTTTATAGAGTGGTATTAGTACCTCACTTGATCTTGATTGTATCCCTCTTTTAAGGCAATTTAGGATTGCATTGGCTTTTTTGGCTGCTGCTGCACAGTGTTAGCTTATATTTAATTGGTTAGTCCACAAAGCAATGGGCCAATAGTCCATAAAGCAATTGAAAATTGCTCAAACAAATAAGTCCACCTAACAAACTTGAATCCACCAGGCAAAACTTAAAATACACACATGAGAGCTCACTTGGCAAGAAAAGGCACAATCTCTGAGGCACAATTTCAAACACAATGAAGCAAGAAGCACGACAATCAAACCAACAGAAAACAAACACGTTCCCAGCAACACTTCCCTGTGCCTGTTGTAATAAATAGCCAGCTTTTTGGTGCATCCCATCAAGACAGGCAGGGTGGCTTTCCTTCTGATTAATCTGGCTGATCTCCGTTGCTCCTGCCTTTTCTCTGCCCTGCTTGCTCTTGGATCAGGTGCAGAAGGCAGCTCCTCCTCCTTTTCGCTAGCCGTCTGCTCCTGCAAGCTTTCCCCATCTGAAGCCTCCTCCAATTCTCCTTTGGCTAGCTGTTCAGAGCCATTCATCAACTCCATTCCTGAAGTGCCGGCAATGGGCTCATCCTCCCTTAAGCTGACCTCTAAGGAGGAATCTGGGATAATACACCAACTGAAAACTTAGAGGGGGGTGGAAACATGCAAGTCCCCTTTGCATTTTGCTAAATCAGCTGATTTACATCTACAGGTTAGTCCTCAACTCACAGCCATATCATTTAGTGACTGAAGTTACAACAGCACTGAAAAAGGTGACTTATGACCAGTTTTCACCCTGACGACTGTTGTAGCATCCCCATGGTCACATGATCAAAATTCGGCTGCTTGGCCACTATTTCATATTTATGATGTTTGCAGTGTCCTGGGATCAGGTGATTGTCAGCGTTCCAGCAAACCTCCATTCCAACCAATAACTCCGACATCTTCGCAAAGGTTCCTTTTATTTGGATAGTAACTGGCACAACTGTGGAATCCCGAATCTGAAAGTTCCGGGCTTCCTTGGGATAAGTAAAAACTACAAAATCCATCCCCTGCACTCATCACCACATCACATGGCCCAATCACCATCCGTCCCAAAGTAACCATCCGTCCTTTTCACTGTGCACAACACGACCTGACCTTGAAACAGAAAAAGAATTTTATTATGTCTAACTAGATCTACTCCAATGAATTTCCCCCCCTCCCACTTTCCCAGGCTCAATGGTGGCAGCGTGGGAGCATCGGATCTCAATATGGCTTCCAAAGCTGACAGTGATCCCCACTTGTGACCTCCTAACAAGCAAAATCAGTGAGGGAGCCAGATTCACTTAACAATCATGTTACTAACTGAACAATGGCAGGAATTCACTTAACAACTGTGACCAGAAAGGTAAAATGGGGCAAAACTCATTCAACAACTGTCTTGCTTAGCAACAGATGTTGGGCTCAATTGTAGTCATAATTCAAGGACTACCTGTATTTAGTTGAAAAAAAGTCATGACTAACTATACAGAAGCCTTCAAATTGATATATATGTATGGATGTGCCCATATACTTTGATACCTGCTTTTTTTTCAAGCGGAGAACAGCACATACAGTACTTAGAACTGGAGCCAGGAGGTTAATTAGAGTTAAATTTAGGAAAATTAATGCTTCTAAGGATTGGTTTGGTTTGGTTCCCATTTGTGGGTTGAAAAACAGGTGATGTGGATAAATTTACTTTAGCATTTAATATCAGGAAAAGGATGGGAAGAGACAAAAAGACAGAAAAATGATTGGATTATTATTATATTTTTGTGCCAAAAAGCAAATAAGTCCTATTACAGGTAGCCCTCAATTTACGACCAAAATTGAGTCCAAAATTTCTGTTGTTAAGTGAGACATTTGTTAAATGAATTTTGCCCGATTTTTATGACCCTTTCTAGCCGCAGTTGTTAAGTGAATCACTTCAGGTGTTTAGTCACTTCAACAGTTACCTAGGAGATTGGACTGCCATTTGTCAGAAATGGTGTAGGGTTTCCCACTTGGGCAGGGGGTTGGACTAGATGACCTACAAGGTCCCTTCCAACTCTGATTATCTGTCATCTATTATCTGAGTTGTCAAGAAATGTGCTCATTTCTGAAGCAGGTGAAGCATTTTCACCTCTAATGCCCCTTTTACCTCTGAAGATGCTGATAGACATCTATAGTTCTGTTTACTGTTTACTTCTTTTCAAAACAATAATTATCAAAATTGCTTTGGTTTCTCCGGATGTATTATGACTTGATTGACTTAAGCTGCTATAGTTCATCAGTAGAGGCTGATCAATTTTCTTCAAAGACAACTATCACTCAAAGTTTATTTCTCCTTGGTGGTTTTCATACCTAGCAATTAGACTTAAAAATACATTTTTAAAATGCTTTTGAACGGATCTTCATCTGGAGAAAGAAAGGCTAGATGAGCCTACAGATTGAATTACTTGCTTTAACCGTGCTCTGTTTTTCTACAAAGAATTTGATTAATCTTGATTTAAGAAAATATTTTTATTATATTTCTTACATACTGCTGTTAGCATACAGAATAAAAAGCATACGTTAAAAGCTGGACAAATTTGCAGGACAAAAATTCTCCATATGATGATACTGTTCCCAAAACTCAGTAAATTCCATATGCAGTTCCTCACCAGACCATTTTCAATACCAAATATTGCATACGTGACACAAAATATTAGATCTACTATTTAAAGCATATTTATCTAACCTACAGAGGATAACGAGTAATCCAAACAGTGCTGAAATTTCTAACAGAGATTTAAAAATGCAGTACCATTTATGATTACCAATAAACTGTTCTGGATTTTTTTAAAAATAGAAAATTGAACAACTGTGCTTTTCATCACATAGATTTTACATATAATACTCAGAAGAAAGTCCTCCAGATTTTCAGGAAGTGATATTCAACATAACTTGAAGTAGCAATACGGTAATAACTTGAATCTATACTTGAAGCTCATAAAGTCAGCAATTATAGAGAAAGCAGGTTGAAGTCCTTGTGGCAGAAATAAACTTTTGACATTTGTTATAGAAATAGAACAAAATTTGTTCTCTCTCTCTCTCCCTCCTTCCCTCTTTCACACACAGGGGTGGGATTCTACTAGTTCGCACCTATTTGCTAGAACCGGCTGTTAACATTCTAAGCAGTTCGGAGAACCGGTTGTTAGAAAAAATGACTGGCCTAATCCTGTAAGGAAGGCAGGAAGGAAACATTCTGGTGTTGCTTACAGAAACTGCCTCTCCGTTAACCCTTATTACGTTCCTGGCAGGACTAGACTTCCTGTCTCAGGAACTTCTCTGGAGTTTTTTTTCCGCCTTTGCTGGTACTTTGCCTGTGTGGAGTGACCATTCAAAGTTACAGTGGCACTGAAAAAAGTGACTTATGACCATTTTTCACACTTAGAACTGTTGCAGCATCCCTACAGTCATGAGAGGCCAGGCGAGGAGATGTGTGCCTCGAAGTGAGTGATACTGAGTTGGCCACACCCAGCCAATAACATGACCACCAAGCCATGTCCACCCAGTCACATGATCACCAAGCCAAGCCCACCATCTAAGCCATGCCCACAGAACTGGTTGTTAAAAAATTTGAATCCCACCCTTGCTCACATATGCACATAAAAAATGTTTGGACAGCAAGCAAAACTGCCTATCCAATATTCAACTTCTTTCCTGAAAGAACCGTGGGAACTGTTATTCTGACCATCACTTTCCCTGAATTCTTTGATGGAAGATATATCAATGAAATCGATGTAAAATGAAGAGGGATCCTCACTATTGATGTGGTCAGGAAATATGTTCGAATACAGGTAGTCCTCAACTTATAACAGATCATTTAGTGACCATTCAAAGTTACTACGGCACCGAAAAAAGGGAATTATGATCATTGTTCAGTTACAATCTTTGAAACATCTTCATGACAATTGGAGCATCCCTAGGTCACATGATCACCATTCATAACCTTCCCAACTGGCTTTCCATGAGCAAAGTCAATGGGGAAAGCCAGGTTCGCTTAACAACCACAGCAAAAAAAGATCATAAAATCAGTAACGGTCACGGGATGACCGTTGACCGCCTAATGACCACATACTTATCAACAGAACTTCCAGTCTCAGTTCTGGTCGTAAATCAAGAGCTACCTGTAGGTTGGCCCATCGCTGGACATTTCTTTCCCTTCCTTGTATCTGAAAATCTTAACGATATGGATTTGAAGAGCGAATATTTAAATGCGTGTTTGCTCAAACTCAACTGGATGTATCCAGATCTACTCTGAAATCCATTTTTGGCTGTGCAGAACTAAACAGAAAAGATGACCCTAGAAAAGATAGAAAGTTTGACTCAAGTTCTAAAGATCTTCAGGGAGTGTTAAGTCTACCAAGAGTTATGGCACACTTTTTTTTTTTCATCCTACAGATATTCAATCTTTTTTTTTTTTTTGGCCAACTTTCAACAGAGCAATTTGAGGGCTCCAGAGATACAGAAAGAGAACCAGAGGGCCACATCCAATCTCCATATCAAGGGTTACAAACCCAAGACCTAGACAACTTTGTAATCTTCTCCATCCTTTGTAACTTACTGTCAATATCTCTTTTACTGCTACGCAATTAGGTTACTTCTAGCATTTCTGGAGAGAATTATGGGGCTGGATCTTCAGTTTCTTTGGGCACAAGAGCTTCACAAAAGCTCTCCTGAAGCTGTAGTGACACAGTGGATAAAGGACAGGGTTGATGGCCGAGTTGACCCACAAGAGCCAGAAAGAAGCCTCGTACCAATACACAGGGATACAATGACCATGGCAAGTGGCTCGGATGATCATGAGAAGGGTGTATGGTGCCCAACAAAGGCCAAAAATACCCACAATGACCGCTAGTGATTTCGCTACTTTCTTGTCCCTAGCCAGCCTGGATCTCTGGGTTACATTCTGGGAAGCTACCTTCAATCCTTCCTCTAAAGAAAGGTTGGCTGCCCAGTCTTTATAATTCCTTTTGCTAGAAGGTTTTGGTCCCCCGTCAGAGTCCCGCAAATGCTTTTGATTGACACTTCCTCGTGCATCTTCTTCTGGGATGTCCCATTTTGGAGGGTTCAGGCTTCCCGGATCTTTTTTTTCCCACTTACAGCATTTCACGGAAAGCTTGGGTCCCGAGTTCATTTCGGTCTCCTCTGCGAAATTCTGGCTGTCGTGAAGGACCTCCAGGCGGATTTTGGTCCGTTTCTGTATGTTCAGGTAGATGCTCAAGTTGAAAAACATCACGCTGATGAAAGGGGTGAAGAACTCAATGGTGGAGGCCATGATGAGAAAGTACCAGTTGTAAAAAAATTCCGCATAGCATTCCCCGTCAGGAATGATGCTCCGGCCGGATATATATTCCCAGCTGATTATTGCAGGTCCGTAGAGCAAGAATGCTAAAACCCAGACCATCGCCATCTTGAATACGGCTCGCTTGGTGTCCCCTTGCTGAGCTCGGTATGAGACCTGGAAAGGGGGGGAAAAATGGGCCACGTTTACTAGAGAACATCTTTTCCCTGAAGGGATATTCAGTTCAAAGGAAAATAATTGATTATCCTAGTCAAATGTTTTCTTGCTGCTTAGCATTAACAGAAAGACGGAGTTGGGAAGGACCCCTAAGGTCTTCTAGCCCAACCCACTGCTCAGGCGGAAAACCTTCTACCATTTCAGACAAATGATTATCCAATCTCTTCTTTAAAACCTCCCGTGTTGGAGCATTTACAACTTCTGGAGGCATGTTGTTCTACTGATTTACTGTTCTCACCGCCAGGAAATGTCTGCTTAGTCCTAGATTGTTTGTCTAATTGATTAGTTTCTATTTGTAGTGGGCTTCAGTAGGCAAGAATCAGACCAGCATAGCTGCAACAGCATTTGTTGACTCAAAACTGGAACCGAGGAACTGCAGGCAAATGCCTGTGATTTATACTCTAGCCAACGGGTCTTCAAACTTGACAGCTTTAAGACTTCAACTCCCAGAATTCCTCCTCCAGTCATGTTAGCTCAGGAATCCTGGGAGTTGAAGTCCACAAGTCTTAAACTTGCCAAGTTTTGTTGTAATGATGAGGCAGTCGAGGTGTTTGATCATGATCAAATGAATCATGATGAACTTTATTGGAGTCTAGTCTTACATTTATACACATTTTTAGTAATCCTCTAACATTGGTTAATTTTAGTTTCTGCTCAGCTTTCGTTACTGTTTAGCATAGTAATTAACACAATTATCTCTAGTTAAAGTCTAACATATGTTTACTTCCTCTCTCTAATCCTTCTTTACATTAGTGATTTTGTTTGCCTGAGTTGTATTTGCTTTGGAACCTTCATTACCTGAGGTTTGCCATCAAGATAATGACATTCCTGCAATTACAACTCTACAAAGTTTGAAGACCCTAGGCCCACACGGCCTTAACCAATCATAGAACTAGAAAAAGCCCGCCCAACTATAAATGTTTTAAATTTTCCTCCAACACAGTTGGGGTCATCGAAAGGTTAGTTTCACTTTAGTATGGTTAACACAATTATATATATTTAATACATAACAGTTTCCTTCCATTGCTTCTTGCCCTGCCTTCAGGGGCTTTAGATACTTCTTCTTTGTGGCAGCCCTTTAAATCAGGGGTCTCCAACCTTGGCCACTTTAAGACTTATGGACTTCAACTCCCAGAATTCCTCAGCCAGCTTTGCTGGTTGAGGAATTCTGGGAGTTGAAGTCCACAAGTCTTAAAGTGGCCAAGTTTGGAAACCCTGATTTAAATAGTGGAACCCTGCTACCATGCAGCTTTGCTGGCTGAAGAATTCTGGGAGTTGAAGTCCACAAGTCTTAAAGTGGCCAAGGTTGGAGACCCCTGCTTTAAATAGTGGAACCCTGCTACCATGTCACCCCTAGTCCTTCTTTTCACTAGACTAGACATACCCAGTTCCTGCAACCGTTCTTCATGTGCTTTAGACTTCAGCCCCTTAATCATCTTGGTTACTCTTCTCTGTACTCTTTCTAACCAGGGGTGGGATTCAATTTTTTTTTCTACCGGTTCTATGGGTGTGGCTTGGTGGGCGTGGCAGGGGAAGGATACCGTTCAATCTCCAGTCAGAGGTGGCATTTGCCGGTTCTCTGAACTACTCCAAATTTCTGCTACCGGTTCTCCAGAACTGGTCAGAACCTGCTGAATACCACCTCTGGTCTTAACATCTTTTTATAATGCAACAACCAAAATTAGATGCAATATTCCAAGTGTGGTCTTACCAAGGCCATATAAAGTGGTATTAACATTTCACGTGATCTTGATTCTATCTCTCTGTTTATGCAGCCTAGGGCTGTGTTGGCTTTTTTGGCAGCTACAGCACATCGCTGGCTCATATTATCTCCACTGAATATTTTCATTCCTCCCCCAATTCACTTAAACAGAATACACGTGTGTCATTCTCTGCTTGAAAAAAAACCTTGAGTGTGTATGTGCATTCGTATATATCAGTCTGAAGACTCCTGTATAGTTGGTCGTGATAATTTTTTTGCTCATGATAACTATACACAGAGAGTCCTCAACTTACATTGATTTGTTCAGTGACCATTTGAAGATACAACGGCATTGAAAAAAGCAACTTGCGACTGTTTTTCACACTTATAACCATGGCAGCATCCCCATGATCACATGATCAAAATCCAGAGACTTGGCAGCTGGCTCGTATTTATGATGGTTGCAGTGTCCCAGGGTCATGTGATGCCTTTTTGAGACCTTCTGACAAGCAAAGTCAATAGGGAAAGCCAGATTCACTTAATGTCCATATTACTAACTTAACAACTGCCATGATTCCCTTAACAACTGTGACCAAAAAAGGTTTGGGAAATAGGGCAAAGCTCACTTAATTATCTTGCTTAGCAACGAAAATGTTGGTCTCAGTTGTGGTAGCGTGTCAAGGACCCCTGTATTATTTTCTTTCAACACTTCTCCCTTCTAGAGCGAGAAAGGGAATCTTTGAATCTCCGGCCTTCTTTCATTTCATTCTGTTAAAGAGTCTTTTGATGCATGTTGTTGGAGGTGTGTTATTCTGTAGCCGTCTTAACCAGTGGCGGGGGTGGAGTGGGTGGGGTGGGAGGGGGCAGTGGCCTTGGCCTGGTTGGGTTGACCTTCTATAACGGTGCCAGTTTTTCATGTAACGCCCCCTTGGGAAAATTAACCCTGGTATGGAGCTTTGTTTGACTTAAATAACACAGTAATGACTACATTGTGGCATGACCTTACACAATCCACTTTATAAAATACCGTGTGTGACTAACCTCAGAGAAAAGATCTGTATGTGTCACTAGGATAATAGGATAAACTGAGGGGGTACTAGCACGGGTGGGATTCAACGCGTGTAACAACCGGTTTGGTGAGCTCATGCTTCATGCACTCTTCACATGCACTTCACGCACGCTTCACGCATGCTTCATGCACGCTTCACGCATATGCACGCCAAACGCACACTTCATGCACATGAAGCATTTGCAACTCACTTCCTGCTGGAAGCCCTGTGTGTAAAACAGCCGATGCGCAGCAATTCCCTGTGCTGTGCAAAGCAGCTGAGCTGGAAAACCTGAAATAAAGCACAGACTAGACCTGGGGCAGATGGACTGGCCCAACAGCCGATCCTTGGAACGAACTGGTTCACTCTCACCTGATCTTCGGAGATACCGGTTCACTCGAACCGGGCCAAACCGGTAGAATCCCACCACTGGGTACTAGGCTGTAGTGTAACAAAATAAACTCATTCCTTTTTAAGGTATCAGAAGACTATTCTCTGGGTTTGCCAAAGGGCAGGGGTGTCAAATTCGATTTCATTGAGGGCTGCATCAGGGTTGCGTTTGACCTTGGGGACTAGGGTGGGCGTGGCCAGCTTGACATCACTTTTGCCAGAGCCGTCCATGGCCCAAGCACATTGCAAGAGAAAATGGGCTCCTGAGCTCTGTTTTTGGCTGGAACAGCCTCCTACAACCCTCTGACAGCAAAAATGTAGCTCAGGAGGGCCACGTTTTCGCTGGCAGACGTACCACGGGCCGGTCCTTCACTCGTTCGAGGGTGGCCCCACAGACCATATTTAAGGATCCCATGGGCTGGATCTGGCCCCCAGGCCTTGAGTTTGACATCCCTGCTATAAGGCAACACCTATCATTTTCCTGGCAGATTACAACAAACAAACAAACATGATGGAGGCCAAACCATAGGATGAACAATTGAGGGAATTAGGGGGTGACATGACGGCAGTGTTCCAATATCTCAGGGGCTGCCACAAAGAAGATGGAATCAAGCTATTCTCCAAAGCACTAGAAAGCAAGAGAAGAAACAATGGATGGAAACTAATCAAGGAGAGAAGCAACTTAGTACTAAGGAGAAATTTCCTGACTGTGAGGACAATTAATCAGTGGAACGGCTTGCCTTCAGAAGTTGTAAATGCTCCATCAGTGGAGATTTTCAAGGAGGATATCATCGGTCCATGTGCACTTGCCACCTCTTGTACACATGATGGTGATGGGCTGATCACCCTGAAATTATTTTCCTCCAAAATAAGCCCTAGTGCTTGTTTTGGAGCCCCCCCAAAAAACATAAGCCTGGGTCTTATTTTCAGGGAAACATGGTAGCAGAATGATCTAATGTCATGATTGGATTACTTTTAAAAAAGTAACTATCAAAGCATATCAGCATGAACCATCCAGCTAAACATGAAACTATTTCCCAAAGCACCAGAAGGCAAAACAAGAAGCAACGGATGGAAACTCATCAAGGAGAGAAGCAACCTGGAACAAAGGATAAATTTTCTAATGGTGAGAACAATTAATCAGTGGAACAACTTCTTGCCTCCACAAGTTGTGGGTGCTCCAACACTGGAGGTTTTAAAGAAGAGATTGGAGAACCATTTGTCTGAAATGATACAGACTCTTCTTCTTGAGCAGGGGGTTGGCCTTAATGACCTCCAAGGTCCTTTCCAACTCTGTTATTCTATGTTTTAAAGATACTCGGCAACCATTTGTCTGAAATGGTTAGGGTCTCTTCCTTGAGCAGGGGGTTGGACTAGAAGATCCCCAAGGTCCCTTCCATGTCTGTTATTCTATGTTCTCTGTTTTCACATGTGATCACTGCAGAGGTGGTATTCAGCAGGTTCTGACCAGTTCTGGAGAACCAGTATTGGAAATTTTGAGTAGTTTGGAAAATCGGCAAATGCACCTCTGACTGGAGATTTGACAGTATCCTTTCCCTGCCCGCCCACCAAGCCACGGCCACAGAACTGGTAGTAAAAAAATTTGAATCCCATCACTGGATCACGGACTAATACTGCTTGGATAAATGGCAAGGTGCATAAAGCAAATAGGATGCCAAGGTCTGGAGGTTCCCCTTTTAGAGCATTAAGCCCTCTGCCAGCTGGACTTCGGAGTTCCTGATCGATCTGAACCCTGATGCTAGAAAGACAACACGACACAATTCTTTCTAGTGTAAAGC